CCCCCCCCCCCCCCCCCATTTACCCACCCAGCCCCAAAGGGGACAAGCAGGTGACATCCCTACAGCACCTTTTTGCTCACCTTCTTGGAAGGACTTTGCAAGTGCTGTGCAAACCAGAAATAGGGGGGAAATCTGCTCTGTGCATCGATCGCTGAGCCAATAAGCGAGATCAACAGCTCAAGAGCATCCCAAAAACTTTAGGTTTTGTATCCATCTACCCTGCACATATCTCCCTTCACCTCTTTTTTTTGCAATCCCTCCCAAACACCAGGCTACCATGTGGAGCCGGCACTTGGCTGAGCAGGCAGCTGCCTCCGAGCTGTAACACTCACCAGGGCAGTCGCAGAGAGCAATGGCAGCGAAGTAGTGGGAGAGGGCTTTGAAATGCTCCGACTTGACGTGGACCATGGTGGTCCAAGAGAAGGGAACGTAATCCTTCACGTGGGCCTGGGTCATCGTCTGGTGCACCAGCAAGTAGACATCTTCCACCTGTGGGGCATCAAGAGACAAGCTGCTAAGCCATGGGTTGAGATGTAGGACATCCATCAGGAGACAGTGACAGCAGGCTGTCCTCTCCTGGGGGGTTCTGCCGACCACAGAAGGAGCCTCTCCAGTGGTGACAGCTCCACCAAGTTCTCTCCTCCCCGAGGTGCTCACCCTTGCCGCCTCCTGGGCGAGCTGCAGCCGGGCGAGGAAGTTGTGCTGGGAACGCAGCAAGGTCATCTTCTCAAAGACGCACTCCTGGACCTGGGCGACCATCAGCCGCACCAGCATGTTCAAGGAGGCGGTGCTCATATCCAGGCTGGGAGCGTTGGAGAAGTTTTCCTTCAAGTAGTTAAAGGCACCTGCGTGAGGGAGAAGCTCCTGGTAGCCACCGGGCTTGTAAGCAGGAGGGTCAGACTTTCGGACCACGAAGGTTTCCCCACCAGCAGCGCAGGAAGAGAAGAGCTGGCGACCCAGCTCGCACATCAAACATCTCACCGTAAACGGTGGGTAAAAAGGTCGGGGGTCACTCCCTTGCTATCTAAACCATCCTTGTGCCCACAGCTTTCTTCCCCAAAGCCCTGGGTGACTGCAGTCCCAGGGTCCTTTTTTTCCCCCCCAGCTGCTCGCAGACGGATCAGCATCTCTTCTCTCCTGAGCTGGGACATCCCTACTGCCGTGCGGCAAGAGAGCGCCCTTTGGGTGGCTGTTGGGTCATCCCAGCTCCTCTTCATAACCCCACAGAAGTAGCATGGTGCCAACTTGCACTTGGTTTGTGGTCCCTTGGAGATGCCCTGTCCCCATCCCTCTTTGCACGACTGCTCTCTCCCCTTCTTGCACTCGTGTGGATTATTCCCACCCCAGGGAAATGCTGCCCGCATGCCCCTGGAGAGCCGGAGAAGGTGGGAACCCACGTACCGGCCGCCTTCTGAAAGGCATCGATGGCCTGGTTGAGCCCCGGCAGGGATGCACGGTCCTGCCGCGCTCCGATCTGGGTGTGCAGGGCTCCAATGTTGAAGAGCACGCTGCCCTTCTCGAAGGCCAGCGCCCGCTGGTGGGATGGGACCCCCGTCAGGGAGTCGTACCTGGGGAAGGGAAGAGTCGACGGCTGCACATCCCCGGGTCCTCGCCCACAGATGCAGGTGGAGCCTGAAGGGTTTTCAGCGCTCCGCGTGGGCTCGCAGCCACCGTTCCCGTCACGGCTCGTCCCCCTGGGGCACACGCTTTCCCCTGCCTCCCCTAATTAACCCACCCAGGGCAACAGCAAACCCAGCTCCCCGCGTCCGCCAGCCCCGGCTTTGCTGCCGAGGCAGCAATCCCGTCGTGGAGGCTTGGTCCCGACTCCCTCCCCACTCGCGATGCCCCAGGTGGGATGAGGAAAGCTGGACCAACCAGTGGAAGAAGACACCCAGGCTTTTGGTGGGAGGGAAGAAACGGCTGTCGAGGAAGTAGAGCTGGTTGTAATACTCCATCAAGAGCTCGAGCCCGGCTTCATTGCGGCTTGGGGTGCGCATCGCCTGCGGGGACGGGAGAGGAGACACGGGGGTGGGAAGAGAGGGGGAAAACGGGAAGGGAAATGACGGATTTATGGAGCTGCACATGCTGGCCAGCCCAGGGGGGGAGAAAATCCACCTGAGTTTTTAGATCAATAGGATCAGATCAATATGATTAGATCAATAGCGGACGAGATGCTGTGCAGCAGCGGGAGGCAGCCCCCCGGCACAGGTTCAGCTGCAGGAAAGGTCAGGGAGGCACTAATTCGGTGCTGGGGCACCCAAATCCGGAGCCAGCAGCCTGGGAGCTGTGCTGGAGGCAATGCTCACCTAAACCAAGCTGGGATTATTATTTCTTTTAAGAGAGAAACTCATGCAAAGTCTGCTGAAATAAATGCTAGGGAAGAAATTGGATTTTTTGCTCTTAACAAAAAAGCCCTTGAGCTTTTGACCTGACACAGGGAGGAGGGTCAGAGCTCTCCTAACGCCTAGTTTTAACCACGGGGCTTTTTCCTTTCCCGCTTCTGGCTTCGCAGGGCTCCTCTCCCACAGCCTAAAGAGCAGGATCGGGCCCTTCACAAGGGCTTGAGCAAGCCTCTTTCTTTCCGCTCTCCCAGATCAAAGCTCCGCGGCAAGGCAAAACTTGAAGTTACTTATGAGAGCTGTTTTGTAGGAGAGGAGAAAATTCACCTTTACCAGATTGCTTTACATTTCCTCTTCTCGAAGCGCTGGCTGGAGAGAGAGCAGTCATTTAGCTTTGCTGGGGGGGAACTAATATTCATAAACCAGTAAGGGATTGCATTATAACTTTTATTGCCGTTCAGTTCTAGGTTAGCAGGGTGTTAAAGGACGGGGAAAGGAAAAAAATTACTGAATGGCCTGTAATATTTTGTAACCTATGAACTGAAGGCAAGGTGTTCCAGCGCAGGAATCCCGCACCCCGAGACACAAGGATGAGTGTGCAGTTTGGAGAGAGGCTGAGGGGACCCTGGAGCAAAATGTGGCACCTCCAAGGAGCGTTTCTGGACAAGCCAAAGCAAGACTTTGCAACTCAAGGGGCACCGACCTGCCGTAGCTCCATGAACTCTTTGATTTCCTTTTCAAACAAGACAGCCTCCTCTCCATAGTGTTCACTGATGAGATCCTGGACGGGGAAACAAGAGAAAAGAAAACCCTGAGTCACCCTGGGAAATAGATATTCAAGATTTAAAGGGTGACTTGGGGTGATTCTGTATAGGCAATTTGCAAGCTCTCTCTGCAAGGAAACCTGTGGCAGGGGAAGCCGTCTCCTCCCCTGCCTGGCTCTTGCTCTCCAGCATCTCGAGACCCTCACCTCCCACCTTCCCATGTTTTAAGTCCAGCTCCTCCCCATAAACCTATTTTTTTTGCAACTGTTCCAAAACAGAAAACGTTTTGCAGCTGCTGCAGCATCTCCTCTACAGCACCCAACCGTACCCAAAGCGCATGGTCGCTCTCCTCCGTCGTCTTACATCGCATCGAGCGTGCAAAACCCTGATGCTCACCTTCAGCGGTACCAGCAAATCCAGCTCCTTCGTCTCCTTCAGGCCCAAAGGGATCATGGGGACGCTGATGGACTCGCTGGAAGAAGACAGCAACCTATTTGGTGGCTGGTTTACAAGCCTCGGAGAGACCCTGTGTGTCGGGGACTAAAATGAAGCAGCTCTTTGCCCTGGGCTTGTGCTGCTCCCATTAAAGATAAAGCCAGAAGAGGACCCAACTCCGCAGAGCGGAAAGACGCTTTTCCCAACATGATGTCGAAAACGGCAGCGCGAGAGGAGGGGTGCACAGAAAATAACCTGAAACCATCACCCTTATCCCTCCAGCTTCTCTCCATAACAAGTACAATAGCAACAAAATAGGCTCCAGTAACGAAGCTGCTTTAATTACCAGCCCTTGGGAACTAGGCGTGATGCGAGCACAGGTCACGGATTCACGCACTCCTACGTGCTAATCTGGGCTTCGGTGCTGATAAGGACTCGCTCGGGCTGCAGCGCTGTGCCTGATATTGAAATTTTCTGTCTCTATTAAAAGCAGTTGTCTAATAATAGCTCTTATCGCAGAGCCCGTTCGATATTGTAAAATGCTGAAGATGACGACGACTCTGGGAACACCCAGTTGGGGAGTGGTTTGTGTTTCAACATTAAAACAGGGCAGTCGTGCAGCACCGAGGAAGAAGCGCTGCAGGACGACAGCCAGGAAGGACCATCTTTTGGGGGATTTAGCAGCTATTTTGTTTTTCTGCTGCCAAGAAGTAAAGAAATGGTCTGTGTAAGCAGCAGAGCCTGGAGCATGACAGAAAATTACAGCCCTGCAAAGAGCCCTAAAGCTGGACCCATCGTCCGGCTCCTCTATACAGAGATGGGGGATGGGAACCCATGGTGGTACCTGCAGCTCACATCGGCTCCACAAATGCTCTCCCCGATACCCATCTATCCCTCGGGGAAGTCCCCAACCCCGGCACCGAGCCATGTTACCGCATCCCCGGACACTTGGCCTCCCAGGGAACTGGTTTAAAGAGACAAGAAAGTTTGGCAGGGAGCGAGATGGAGTCAGGCAGGATCAAGCCCTCGCCAACCCAGGTTTGCACAACAGCCCCCTCTCGTTACCTCCAGAAACCGCTGACAACTTATTAGCACATCACTCATTAGTCCAGGGAGGAAAAGAGGCAAAGAAAGTTGCAAAAACTCGGGGAGCAGGGCAGGGAGGTTACACCCACATTTTCATCTGTTCACACTGAATAAACAGCTTCAAGAGCTATAATTAGTGCAGAAAAGCCATTATCGCTCCTTCCCTAATAAGATTTCCACTTGAATCCAATGCCTGGAGCAAACAAAGGGGCTTTTGTTTGGCCTGGGAAGGGTTTTGGGGTTGCTGTTTTCTTTTTAAACCAGGGCACACAAGCGGCTGGTTGGAAAAGCCAAGCATCCCCTGGAACAACTTGGGAAGGATGCATGCAACACAGGAGATGTTGCATACATCCCTATGTCTAGCACAAAAGAAGAAGGACCAACATCCAGGATTACATTCAGAGGCTGCAACAGACCCTCTGAGTGCAGCAAACACCCAAGGGTGGTGGAGATATGGGCTCCCTCGGCTTTCTCCCCATAGGAGACCCTGCGACCCTAACACAATCCTGCACCCAGATCATCCTGGTCCTACAATTAATATCATTGCAGCAATCTGCAGGATGGAGTCACTGATGGTCTCCTGGTCCTTGCACCTCCCTCTGCCCCCAGCAGCACAGCAATCCTCCCCCGAGGAGGACCATGCGCCAGGAAAAGCACGTGGATGGACATAGAATCACAGAACGGTTTGGGTTGGAAGGGACCTCGAAAGGTCATCTAGTCCAACCCCCCTGCCATGGGCAGGGACATCTTCAACTAGATCAGCTTGCTCAGAGCCCCGTCCAACCTGACCTGGAATGTTTCCAGGGATGGGGCAGCCACCACCTCTCTGGGCAACCTGTGCCAGTGTTTCACCACCCTCAGTGTAAAAAATTTCCTCCTTATATCTAGTCTGAATCTCCCCTCTTTCAGTTTAAAACCATTCCCCCTTGTCCTATCGCTACAGGCCCTACTAAAAAGCCTGTCCCCATCTTTCTTAGAAGCCCCCTTTAAGTATTGAAAGGCCGCAAGGTCTCCCCAGACCCTTCTCTTCTCCAGGCTAAAAGCGCCCAACTCTCTCAGCCTGTCCTCACAGCAGTGCTGTTCCAGCCCTCTGATCATTTCTGTGGCCTCCTCTGGACCTGCTCCAACAGGTCTGTGTCTGTCTTGTGCTGGGGACCCCAGAGCTGGATGCAGTGCTCCAGGGGTGTCTCACCAGAGCGGAGCAGAGGGGCAGAATCCCCTCCCTCG